TGAGCTCAAGTGATCCATTTGCCTCAGCCTCCTAAATGCTCCTAATTACAGGTGTGAGCCACTGCACCTGGCTTTTTTTTTTTTTTTGCAGTGGCGTGATCCTGGCTCGCTGCAACCTCTGCCTCCCGGATTCAAGCAATCCTCCCACCTCAGCCTCAGTCCTGAGTAACTGGGACCACAGGTGCATACTACCACTCCTGGCTAATTTTTTGTATTTTTTGTAGAGATAGGGTTTTGTCATGTTGCCCAGACTGGTCTCTAACTCCTGGGCTCAAGTGATCCTCCCACCTTGGCCTCCCAAAGTGCTGGGACTACAAGTGTGAGCCACCATGTGTGGTTTTTACCACAATTTAAATGAAATGCATTACATTGTGTTATATGCAACAACAGATATATGTTCAAAACAAAAAAAACAGTCACCCATTTTAGTTGTACAATGTATAGATGAAGTTCCATGTATTTATAGATGAAGTTTGTTTTTTGAGGTGTGTCCAGATCCCCCTGTTCTCCTGGCTGCCCCTGAGCTACCTAAAGGAGCTTCTCTGGCCTGGACACCCAGTTCCCTGCCATCTGCCTGGGATCTCCTTCCTCCACTCCACCCAGCCTTGAGGGATGGCTGCTCTTCCTCCATAAAAGCCATTCCCTCTGATAAAACCCAAGCTCTCCACCCAGGACAGAGTCAAAAGCCACAGTCCCCAGGCCACCTCCGTGATCCCTTTCTCACCGAGACGGTGGGGCATCCATGGGGGAAGGGAGAGACTCCTTCAGGGCCCCTGAGGCCTAAAGCACACAGTTTACCTGATGAGTTTTCGCCTAATCTAAGGTAGGAAGGATGCCCCCGGGAGCTCACCCCTGGGCAAAGCCTGGCCCTCCCCGTTTTCTCTCTATGGGGAGGAATCCTGGCCCCAAACTTCCCCAGACCTCTTGAGTTGACTGGAATCCAGTTGTCCAGTAGAAGAAGTCCCTAAATGCAGTGGCCAGGGCCAGTGTATTTGTTAGAACTGCTGGACCTAGGCCAGGTGCAGGGGCTCACGCCTGTAATCCCAGCACCTTGGGAGGCAGAGGCAGGCAGACTGCTTGAGACCAAGAGTTCAAGACCAGCCTGGGCCACATGGTGAAACTCCATCTCTACAAAAAAATAGAAAAATTAGCTGGGCATGGTGGCATGAGCCTATAGTCCCAGCTACTTGGGGAGGCTGAGGTGGGAGATGCTTGAGGCCGGGAGGCAGAGGTTGCAGTGAACTGTGATCATGCCCCTGCACTCCAGCCTGAGCAAGAGGTACGTCTCAAAAAAAAAAAAAAAAAAAAATTACATATAGAACGCTAGACCTAAGGCTGGCATGTGCTCACCCTGTAATCCTAGCACTTTGGGAGGACTAGGCGGGGGCAAGATCAACAAGTCAAAAGTTCGAGACCAACCTAGCCAACATGGTGAAACCCCGTCTCTACTAAAAATACAAAAATTAGCCAGGCGTGGTGGTGCGCACCTGTAATTCCAGCTACTCAGGAAGCTGAGGCAGGAGAATCACTTGAACCCAGGAGGTGGAAGTTGCAGTGAGCTGAGATCACACTATTGCACTCCAGGCTGGGAGACAGAGCAAGACTCTGTCTCAAAAAAAACAAAAAACAAAAAACTGCTGGACCTAAAGTGGGGCTTGAGACTTCGCTGCAGAATGCCCCATGGGGTTCCCAACACCACCTTTCCTCCCAAGAGAATATCGTCCCCTTTACTGTGCCAGGATTTTTTGATTACTCCTTTAGCTCCTCCTCCGAGGCTAGGTTGGGGAATGACTGTCTCTGGAGTTGGTTTTCTACGGAGCTTGTCTGGGGAAGTATCTTTGCGTCCTCTCAGTTCTATCTGATCTGCTGCTGCGGCACACTCACGGCACTGGGAATTAGAGCTCAGGAATGGTCCTGCAGGCACCAACTCCTAAGAGATGGATGTGCCCACCAGTTAAGTTACAAGAGACAGATGTGAGGCAGATGTGTTTGCTCTCCTCCCTCACTGGAGGAGAGCAAACGCCCAGAGTGGCTCCAGGGGCCGAGAAAGGACAACTTTTCTTGGACCAAGAGAATATCCCCTTCTATTCCCACCACCTTTGGAAGGGAGAAGTGGTGTTTTTTCTTTTTTCTTTCCTTTTTTTGTTTTTGAGATGGAGTCTTGCTCTGTCACCCAGGCTGGAGTGCAGTGGTGCAATCTTGGCTCACAGCAACCTCTGCCTCCTGGGATCAAGTGACTCTGGCCACCTCAGCCTTCCAAAAATGCTGGGATTACACGAGTAAGCCACCGTTCCCAGCCTCTTTTTTCTTTTTATGATTTCTGAATCTTAATGCTTTTTCATTCATTCGCTCCACAGCACTTAGGCACGTAGCCTTGGTCTCCTCTCCCTTAAGAATGGGGATATTAATAGAACCTCCTTCACGAGCATATGGTGAACAGCAGAGCAGATGAGATCGTGCATGTAAAGTAACAAGCCCAGGGCCTAGGACATCACACAGGCTTAATTCATGGTGGCAATTATATTTACTATTAATTTTTTTTTTAGACAAGATCTCCGTCTGTCACCCAGGCCGGAGTGCCATGGTACATTCATGACTTCACTGCAATTTCAAACTCCTGGGCTCAAATGACCACATGTACGCACCACTACGCCTGGCTAATCTTTTGAAACTTTTTTTTTTTTGTAGACACAGGGATTCAGCTATGTTGCTCAGGCTGGTCTCAAACTCCTGGGCTCAAGCAATCCTGCCTCAGCCTCCCAAAGTGCTGGGATTACAGGAGTGAGCAACCCAACCCGGTCTATTATTATTAATGCAATAATCAGTTGGTGAGCACAGTACTGCCCCTGGCCTGCCATGGAAGAAGGCAGAGCTCTCAATTCCTTCCACAAGCACTTTCTTTTTTTTTTTTGAGACGGAGAGTGCAGTGGCACAAACTCTCGGCTCACTGCAAGCTCCACCTCCCAGGTTTACACCATTCTCCTGCCTCAGCCTCCCCGGTAGCTGGGACTACAGGCGCCCGCCATCACGCTCGGCTAATTTTTTTTTGTATTTTTTAGTAGAGACGGGGTTTCACCGTGTTAGCCAGGATGGTCTCGATCTCCTGACCTCGTGATCCGCCCGCCTTAGCCTCCCAAAGTGCTGGGATTACAGGCTTGAGCCACTGCGCCCGGCCCATAAGCACTTTCTGAATTGCTGTCCTATCAGCCTGCCTCCCTGAATGGAGCCTGTTCCTTCCTGGTAATGAACTGTCTCCACCTACTAACTCAAGCCCAGTTACAGAGGATAAAACTGAGGGTCACAAGAGGAGAAGAAACCACCCATGGGTGGGACTGGAATACAGGTCCCTGTCCCGTGGGCCAGGGTGGTTGCCCTTGCTTCAGGCTGAGTTTTGGCATTAGAATTTAAGAGTCCAGCTCCCAAGTAAGATTAAAATGGAAACACAGGCTAGGCGGGGTAGCTCACACCCGTAATCCCAGCTACTCAGGAATCCTTTGAACCCAGGAGGCAGAGGTTGTGTGAGCCGAGACTGTACCACTGCACTCCAGCCTGGGCAACAGAGCAAGACTCCGTCTCAAAATAAATACATAAATAAATAAAAATAAAATAGAAACATAGGCTGGGCGCGGTGGCTCATGCCTGTAATCCCAACACTTTGGGAGGCCAAGGCGGGCTGATCACCTAAGGTCAGGAGTTCGAGACTAGCCTGACCAACACGGTAATTAGCCGGGTGTGGTGGCTCACACCTGTAATCCCAGCTACTCCGCGAGGCTGAGGCAGGAGAATAATTTGAACCCAGGAGGCAGAGGTTGCAGTGAGCCAAGATTGTGCCACTGAACTCCAGCCTGGGTGACAGAGCAAGACTCCGTCTCAAAAAGAAAAGAAAAGAAACATAATTATCTATGGCTGTTCCTGAAGTTGCCCATGATGTAAGAGGTTTTGTGTGGCCGCCCCCTACAGAGCAATGGTTGGCAAACTTTTTCTGTGAAGGGCCAGAAAACAAATATTTTAGGCTTTGCAGGCCTCTGTCTCAAGTACTGAATTCTCCTCTTGTAGCAAGAAAGCAACACTGGACAGAACTTGAGCAAATGAGCATGGCTGTGTGACACCAAAACATTATTTATAAACACTGGAATGTGAATTCCATATGATTTTCATATGCCATGAAATGTTCATTCTTCTTTTGATTTTTTCCCTAACCTTTTAAAAAACATAAAAACCATACTTAGCTCACAAGCTGTACAAAAACAATGCCCCCCGGCTTAAAGGAGGCAGAACCCATTCTTTGATTTTAGGACTAGAGATATGAAAAGCTATTATTATTCCAGAGAGGTGCCTAAGGCCTGATTCACGGCAGAGAGAAGGGAGGGTCAGTTAATCTCCCGCTGAGCATTCCGGGGTGAGGAGGGAAAAAAAGACCTTCCTTGGTGATGGCCTCAGAACCTTTATTTTTGTTTGTTTTTGAGGCAGGGTCTCTCTTGTGTCTAAATCTCTTTTCTTACCTGTAAAGCGGTGGCAATAATCCCTACCTTGAACGATTGTTAAGAGGGCTCAATGAGATAAAGGGTGGTAAAGGATTTTGCAAAATGCAAATGTTTACCCACTTAATTGTTTCCACAGATGCGCGCTTAAGATCGCGCACTGAGTTTATTCCTCTGGGGAAGGCTTCTGCGAAGTTTGATGGGACACTGTACCTTTAAATCCTCCCCAACCACTTAAAGTGGTTGGACGAATCAGCACATGCGCATTCCTTTGCGGGGCCGGCACCTGGAGCAACAGCCTTCCCAGAGCCTGTAGAAGGAAGGTTAAAGGTCCGCCCACACAGTACTTTACGCAAGCGTAAATCATGATTGAGGGCACTATATCATGCAGAGAGCCCAGTCCCTTTTTCGCGCCCGAAGGCTCCGCCCCGCGCAGCCAATCAGTAGGCCTCACCCTTTGCAATAGCCAATGACAGTGAGCGTAGGGGCGTGGCTGGGCGTCCGGGGGCGCGGCCTGGCGCCTAGAGAAGCGGCGGGGCGAGCCGGGGGCTCTAGTGAACAGCAGAGCCGGACGGGGATCGCCGGCGGGCGGCAAGCGGAGGCGGCCCGGCCCCGGCGGTCTCCGAGATGTCACGATGGCTGTGGCCATGGTCAAACTGTGTGAAAGAGCGGGTCTGCCGCTACTTGCTGCACCACTACTTAGGTCACTTCTTCCAAGAGCACCTCAGCCTGGACCAGCTCAGCCTCGATCTGTACAAGGGCAGCGTTGCCCTGCGAGACATCCACCTGGAAATCTGGGTGAGAAGCCAGGCCCGAGGCCAGGAAGGTGCGGAGGGCGGGAGCGCAGCGACCTGAGGCTCCCTGCGGAAAGATCGGGCCGGGGGGATCAGGCACCGGGCGTAGAGAGGCCAGGGGAATCTTGCTCTCTCCAGGCGTCAGAGGCACCCCGGCTGGCTGCTTCAGTTCCTTACCAGAGCCAGAAACTGAGCGGGAAAGGGTTTCCATCTCCACAGGAGGAGAAACTGAGGCTGGAGAGGGCGAGATCACCTGTCTGGAGAATGCAAGACAAACTCGTCGAGTTTGGGGGCTGAGTTAAGGAGGGTGGCCGAGGAGGGGCTGGGGAGGTAGCATAGGAACCGAGCTGGGCCAGGGCAGTGACAGACTTGGGCCTGTGCAGCTGGTCGGGGAAGCTGGTAGGGGTCCGGAGCCCTGGCGAGGACACCTGTGGATCATGTGCCCTGACCTCTTGACCCCACGGTCCTGGGCCCGTAGGTGGGATCAACAAACCACTGGATGTGTATGTCAACAACCGCGTCAGCACCAGTGTTGATCAACACCTTGTGTGCCTGGGTCGCTGCCTACTTCCTGTTTTTGGGAGAGTGGGATGGGCTAAGTGGGTGTCTAGGGAGGGACTGGATGGCCTCCACCCACATCTCCCACCCACCCGCCGGGGTCAGTGTCCCTGCCTCGAGGGGGACCCTCGAGGAAAGGTCGGGAGATCTGGCTTCAAGCCTGGAGGAGGCCAAGGGAGATGCCAGGGAGGCCAAGAGGTGTGAGGTCTGGGTCAGAGACTTGAGGCTGGGAATGGTAAGGAGCCCTGACTCACAGCTCAGCTGACCTGGGGAGCTTTGAAGGAGCCACCAATTAGAGGCGCATCCTGGTCAATCCACCAGGTCCAGAGCAGCAGGGGTGGGCATGGAGGCAGGGACTTCTCAGTTTTGTGGCTGGACTCAGGGGTCTGCTAATCTGGATGGAAGAGCTAGGCTTTGGGGGTAGGCCAGGCCCTGGTGAGCAAATGTGGGGTAGGATAACCCTCGGCCCTGAACTGGGGGCACCTCCCAGTGGCCTGCTGTCTGTGAATTATGGTGTAGGAAGCCCTCTCTGACCTGTAACCTTAGCCTCTAAGGCTGGCCTGAAAGACGGCCCAGACTTCTAGGCTGCCCCTTTTTTATTTTATTTTTATAGAGACAGGATTTCGCTATGTTGCCCAGGCTAGTCTTGAACTCCTGAAGCGATCCTCCCACCTCAGCCTCCCAAAGTGCTGAGATTACAGGCGTGAACCACCATACCCAGCCCTAGGCTTCCCCTTTTTACTTTCAGCTCCAGAAAATGCCCCTACTCGTGTTCCCTGCCCTCTTGCTGGGGGTCGAATTGGCTTCTCTAGGGCCCTGGTGGAATACAAGTGCTTTCTTGATAACCAGCCTCTCCTCCCAGCTCAGCCTGCAGACCCCACCTTGAAGGCCCCCAAAGAAGCTGAGTGCCTAGGACCTCTGAAGTGGCCTGAAGAGAGAGAGACCCGGATCCCAGTCTCAGTCCCTGTTGTATACTGGGTGACTAGATTAGTCCTGTCTCTAGGCCTCAGTTTCCCGAGCTGTGGGTCTCTGGGTGAGGAATTTGGACTCCATCTACTCTGCCATGTGCTTTTTTATTCTTGGATCCAACCAGTTTACTGAGGCCCTTTCTGGGTGGCACCTGGGGTCACGGGGGAAGCAGGTGGGGTACAGCCTTCAAGGAGCTTCCAGGTTGGCAGGGGTACAACTCCAGCATGGACATTTTAGCCAGGGGCTCAGCCTTGTGCCTCACAGAGAGGTACAGCTACACTAGGTGTTTGGGGTTGAGGGGGGGTCCCATCTGGCATCAGGTCAACCCCTCTCTCCTGGACACTGTCCCTTTGAACTCGCCTCACCCAGGGTGAACATGGGTTTTCCAGACTCTGCCAGACATGTACCCATGTTGTCCTGTGCCTGCAACACACCACCTTCCACCAGCGCCTACCCCGCTCCCTTTATTCTTCAGCTTGCCCCTCCTCTGACAGACCAGGCTGGGTTAGGCGTCTTCCCCATGGTCCCCTCATCAACCCCCAGCATCTGCTCACCTCTCAGTTTCATCCTAGTTGCTCTGAGTCCCTGGCTGGAGCCTAGCTAGCTTGGCTGGGGAATGAAGACATTTTATTTACCCATCTAGTCTCAATGTCAGCATGTAGAAAGTACTCAGTAAATATTATCTTGAATTAAGTGGTGAGGGAAACATTTGCCCTGGCTTGAAGGATTAGGCATCTTTGGGTGATAGGGTGGGGGGGCTGGCCTGTAGCAGGGGACAGCATGAGCATAGGTAGGACCTTGTAGATAACACGTGGAGGGACGGGGCAAGCCAAGGGTGCTCTCCAAGGCACCGTGGCCAGGTAAGCCTGTGCCAGCCTGTGGGATTTGGGGCTTCCCTGAGCTGGTTTTGTCCCTTGCTTGCTCCCAGTCTGTGAACGAGGTGCTGGAGTCGATGGAGTCACCGCTGGAGCTGGTGGAAGGCTTCGTGGGCTCCATCGAGGTGGCCGTGCCCTGGGCTGCTCTGCTCACCGACCACTGCACAGTGCGCGTGTCCGGCCTCCAGCTCACCTTGCAGCCCCGCCGGGGTCCAGGTGAGGGCAGGGCAGGCTGAGGGCAGGCAAGTGGGGAGGGCCAGGGTGTCCAGGACCTGACTGAGCCAGCCTGCCTTGAGACCCTGTTTCTCCCTACAGCGCCAGGGGCTGCCGACTCACAGAGCTGGGCCTCATGCATGACCACAAGCCTGCAGCTGGCCCAGGAGTGTCTACGGGATGGGCTACCAGAGCCCTCTGAGCCACCACAGCCCCTGGAGGGGCTGGAGATGTTTGCCCAGACCATTGAGACTGGTGAGCAGGCCCCTCCTGGCCGCCCTGTCCCCTGCCCCTCCATGGCACACAGGACAAGGGCTCCAGACAGCGGCATGGCCACCTGGTGCCCAGACAGGAAATTTTGCCTCCCTTTTGCTGCTCCACTTGACCTGAGACCCCTCCCCGACTCCTCAGTGCTTCGGAGGATCAAAGTGACCTTCCTGGACACTGTCGTGAGGGTGGAGCACTCTCCGGGTGATGGGGAACGTGGTGTGGCCGTGGAGGTCCGTGTGCAGAGGTAAGGGCAGGGTGATCTGGGGTGGACTGGTGTGAAGAGAGGGAGTGGGAGCTGCTGAATGGTCCCCACCCACAGCCTAGGTTCCTGGGAAGAGGCAGGGTGGGTCTGGGTGGGCCTCGGTGGTGGTAGGGCTGGGGAGGTGGGCTGTATCGTGAACCCGGACTGGTGTCCAGAGGCCGGGTGATACAGGCCCAGAGTGGCCGAGGCCCCAAGAACCAAGTTAGATGCTGAGGGGCTGAGGAGCAAGGGCTGGCCTGAGCCTCTGAGCTGGACATGGCGGTTCAGGGCGGCCTGGGTAAGATGGGGCAGTTCTGCAGGCCAGGCTCCCTGACCCCGTGCCCCTAGAACAGAGCACTGTGTGGAGAGAGGGGCTCCAGGCCTGGGGTGGCCAGGGCACGGGCTGACCCTACACTCTCCAGACTGGAGTACTGTGACGAGGCAGTGCGGGACCCGAGCCAGGCGCCGCCGGTGGACGTGCATCAGCCGCCTGCCTTCCTGCACAAGCTGCTGCAGCTGGCGGGGGTCCGCCTGCACTACGAGGAGCTCCCCGCACAGGTGAGTGGGCTCTGATTCCCAGAGCCCCTGTCTCCTATCCCTTGAGCCCTCTGACCCCCCTCCCATCCTTCCTGACCATCCATCTCTGACCCCATTTTCTCAACCTTCCCCTCTTGTATCCTCCCACCTCCCAGGAAGAGCCTGCAGAGCCCCCCTTGCAGATTGGCAGCTGCTCAGGGTACATGGAGCTGATGGTGAAGTTGAAGCAAAATGAGGCCTTCCCTGGCCCCAAGGTGGGTCCCCAGGCTCCTGGGGAGGAGGGTGAGTACCCCATCTCAAGACTCCTCCTCCTCAGCAAGGCTGATTATCCACAGACCAGAGTAGGGATGTCAGGTGGGGGATTTACTTCCTTCTTGGCAGCTAAAGAAACTGAGGCTGTAGGCCAGGCACAGGGTTCACGCCTGTAATCCCAGCGCTTTGGGAGGCCGAGGTGGGTGGATCATCTGAGGTCAGGAGTTCGAGACCAGCCTGGCCAACACAGTGAAACCCCCTCTCTACGAAAAATACAAAATTAGCCAGGCATGGTGGCGCATGCCTGTAATCCCAGCTACTCGGAAGGCTGAGGCAGGCGAATTGCTTGAACCCGGGAGGCAGAGGTTGCAGTGAGCCAAGATTGTGCCATTGCACTACAGCCTGGGCAACAAGAGCAAAACTCCATCTCATTAAAAAAAAAAAAAAAAGAAAAGAAACTGAGGCAGAGAGGTCAAGCTGTGGCCCGGTTCATACAGCTAGCTGGTAACAGAGTTTAGTTTGGCAGCCAGCATCCTGCTTTCCCAGGGCAAGGGCAGGCGGGTGGTAGCTCTTAGAGGAGCTGGGTGGTGGGCCTGGGCTCCATGGCTGCCCCCTTGGCCCCCAGTTGGAGGTAGCGGGACAGCTGGGCTCCCTGCACCTGCTTCTGACCCCGAGGCAGCTCCAGCACCTTCAGGAACTGCTCAGCGCTGTGAGCCTTACAGGTGAGGCCTCTGGGTGGCATGGGGCTGGGGTGGCTGGGAGGGCCGGCCAGCCCAGACTGAAGCCTCCTCCCCTGCAGACCACGAGGGCCTGGCTGACAAGCTGAACAAGAGTCGCCCGCTAGGTGCCGAAGACCTGTGGCTGATTGAGCAGGACCTGAACCAGCAGCTGCAGGCCGGGGTGGTGGCTGAGCCCCTCAGCCCAGACCCCCTTACCAACCCCCTTCTCAACCTGGATAGCACTGGTGGGTGTGGAGTCGGACATGGTTGGAGGGGCAGCTAGTGTGGGTGCAGGAGCCTAGGGGCTGGGGCCGGCTGTCCCTGACACTCCTCACTTCACCCACAGACCTCTTCTTCTCCATGGCTGGCCTCACAAGCAGTGTGGCCTCAGCCCTCTCTGAGCTGTCCCTCTCCGATGTAGACCTGGCCTCCTCTGTGCACAGTGACGTGGCCTCCCGCCGGCTCTCTGCCCAGGCCCACCCAGCTGGTGAGTTGGAGCACCCTGGAGGTACTCCAGGGATAGGAAGGACTGGAAGAGGCCTTAGTGCTGTGGGATGTCAGGAAACCCCCAGCCCTGCCTGGATATCTACCATCTGTGACTTGGTTCCCTGGGGACCAAACGAGGTAGTAGCTGGTGATACAGTCCACAGAGCCCAGGTTTTTCAGTCATTGATCTTAGTCAAGCACTTAAACTCTCTGAGACTCAGCTTCCTCTTCCATAGGAGGAGAATGGTGAGATGGGCCTTTGCCAGGCTGTATATTTGGGTTCCGGTTTATTGAGAGCTTATTGTGGGTGGGTGCTAGGCTGGGTGCTTCATCACATCCTATCCTTCCAGCACCCTGTGGAGGGTTCAGTTGAGCCTGGGCAGAGGGCCTGGCCTACTGGAGGCACCGGTGTCACCCCTGCGTGACCAAGCCTTCTGCCAGAGCCACATGGTGTGGCAGACTTGGCCTCCCAACCCCCAGCAACCATTACTCCACCTGGGGTACCCAGAATCTCTTGGGAGCCCCTGGTGAAACCTCTGTCCTCTCAGGCAAGATGGCCCACAATCCCCTCCTGGACACCATGCGCCCTGACTCGCTGCTGAAGATGACCTTGGGGGGTGTGACCCTGACCTTGCTTCAGACGTCTGCCCCATCTTCTGGACCACCTGACCTCACCACGCATTTTTTCACCGAGTTTGATGCCACCAAGGATGGGCCCTTCGGTTCCCGAGACTTCCACCACCTTCGACCACGCTTCCAGAGGGCCTGTCCCTGTAGCCATGTTCGGTATAAGCCCGAGGCCAGGGCCTGAGGAGAGACCATCGGAGTTCCCTAAGTGCACCTTCTGATGCCTGTCCTCTTTCCCGCAGGCTAACGGGCACAGCCGTGCAGCTGTCCTGGGAGCTGCGGACAGGCAGTCGGGGTCGGCGGACAACCAGCATGGAAATGCGCTTTGGGCAGCTCGAGGTGCTGGAGTGTCTGTGGCCCCGGGGCACCTCCGAGCCTGAGTACACGGAGGTGAGGGCAGAGACAGAATGTGTGCGAGGCGGGGTCTGGAGGTTTGGGTGGCTGTGGGGCCAGGCCTGACCCTGTGTGCCTCCCGGGTCCCACCCCAGATCCTGACCTTTCCTGGTACCCTGGGCTCCCAGGCCTCGGCTCGGCCCTGCGCCCATCTGCGCCACACACAGACCCTGCGCCGTGTGCCTAAGGTAACCCACCCGCTCCAGGTCACCAGGCTGTCGACTGCTCCCCATGGCGTGTTGACCCCACCCTGGCCTCTGCCATGGCCTCCTCTGCTGCCCAGCCCTGTCTCTTTTCCCCTGTGTTCCACACCTCACCATGCCAGGGCCTTCAAATACCTGCCTGGCCCTTCCCATGCCAGTCTCTTAGCCTGGTCATGCCCTTGCCCTGTCTCAACATGGCAACCCCTGCTGGGCCTCTGGCTAAGAAAGGCGCATCTCGGGCGGCTTTTATAAATAAACAAGCACATTGTGTGCACTGGGCAAAGGTGGGGCAGGCCTCCTCAGTGCCCTCCTGGCCCCTGCTCCAGCTCTTCTCCCACTACCAGAGAGGGCCTTCCTGTCCCACACGCCGAGTGCCACTCAACCCTCACTGACCTGAACTCCCTCGCCCTCAGAGCCGACCCCGGCGCTCAGTTGTCTGCCATTGCCACTCAGAACTGGCCCTGGACCTGGCCAACTTCCAGGCAGACGTGGAACTGGGGGCCCTGGACCGGCTGGCTGCCCTACTGCGCCTGGCCACTGTAACTGCTGAGCCTCCAACTGGCCTGCTGGTGAGAGGCCCCGCCAGGGCCAGGCCGGGGTCGGGTGCAGGGCCTGGGTTCTTCGGCTCTTGGTCACAGTGGGAGGGGCTCTGACGGCAGCTCTGACCCGGAATCCTCCTGCAGACAGAGCCCCTGCCGGCAATGGAGGAGCAGACAGTATTTCTGCTTTCCGCACCCCGGGCTACACTGCGACTGCGCTTCCCCATTGCTGACCTGCGGCCTGAGCGGGACCCCTGGGCGGGCCAGTCTGTGCGGGCTGAGCAACTTCGGCTGGAGCTGAGTGAGCCCCAGTTCCGGTCAGAGCTTAGCAGTGGGCCTGGTCCCCCAGTCCCCACCCGCCTGGAACTCACCTGCTCCGACCTACATGGTAAGAGCTCCCTGAGTGACAGAACCTGGGGCGAGAGGCCTGGCTTCTAGGAGAGGTGGGCTTGGGGCTATGGAAGGGGCCCATTCACAACCCGAGCAGCCCCTAGCCCAGGCCTTTACCAGCTCTTGGGGTCCCAGCACTGCCAGTCCCTGGCCTACTTGCCAACAGGTAGGGGGGACCCTTTGTCTCTGGCTTTCTCTGCCCACCACAGTGTGTGTGGAGTCGGGGGGCACAGCTCTGAGCCGACCTGGGCATTGGGGAAGACATAGGAAAAGTCAGCAGTGATGACGGCCCTCCCACTTCCCCGTCCCCCTTTAGGTATCTATGAAGATGGAGAGAAGCCACCTGTCCCCTGCCTGCGTGTCTCCAAAGCCCTGGACCCCAAGAGCACTGGGCGCAAGTACTTCCTGCCCCAGTAAGTAGGGGCTCTGGACGGGGCCCAGGAGAGGAGGGTTCTACTGCTGAACTGGCCCTGGACCTGGCAGGGAGCCAGTTTGGAACTGGGTGCTGGGGACCCTGCAGGCCAGTGACAGGCCTGTGCCTCGGCAGGGTAGTGGTGACTGTGAACCCCGAGTCCAGCAGCGCACAGTGGGAGGTGGCCCCGGAGAAGGGAGAGGAGCTGGAGCTGTCAGCGGAGAGTCCATGTGAGCTGCGGGAACCTGAGCCCTCACCCTTCTCCTCTAAGAGGACCATGTATGAGACAGAGGAGGTGAGGCTTGGCCCTACCTCTTCCCAGGACCCCCTCCTGCCCACCGCCCGGGTTCCTGCCAGAGGAGCCACCTGTGTGGCTGCAGGCCAGGGCAGCATGACCCCATGGGGTGGGCATGAGCTGACCCGAAACCAGTGAGGATTTCGGCTCTTCCATTCTTTCCAGCCAATCAGAGTCTTTCTGAAAGGGCACTGGTGAGGGTAGGCCCCAGGGAGCATGGGTCCTCCATTGGAAAGATCAGGTCCCACCCTACCTGCATGGTCGATCAGCACTGTCCACTTGGAGAGGCAGTTAAGGGCCAGGCTCTGCCACTTGGTGGCTGTGTCACCTTGGGGAGTTACCTGACCTTGAAGAGTTACCTATAGATGAGTTTCCTCCCCTGGAAAATGGGCACCATGACCTGTCTCTCTTTTTTTTCTTTTTTTTTTTTTTTTGAGATAGAATTTCGCTTTGTTGCCCAGGCTGGAGTGCAGTGGCATTATCTCAGCTCACTGCAACGTCCGCATCCCAGGCTCAAGCAATTCTCCTGCCTCAGCCTCCTGAGTAGCTGGGATTACAGGCGCCCGCTGCCACGCCCGGCTAATTTTTATATTTTTAGTAGAGACGGGGTTTCACCATGTTGGCCAGGCTGGCCTCGAACTCCTGACCTCAAATGATCACCCGCCTCAGCCTCCCGAAGTGCTGGAATTACAGGCATGAGCCACTGCACCCGGCCTAATTTTGTATTTTTAGTAGAGATAGGGTTTCGCCATGCTGGCCAGGCTGGTCTCGAACTCTTGACCTCAAGTGCTCTACCCACCTAGCCCTCCCAAAGTGCTAGGATTATAGGCATGAGCCACTGCGCCCAGCCTAACCATGACCTGTGTCATAGGCTTGCTGTGGCGGTTAAAGGAGTTAACATACCTGAAGCCCTTAGAACAGCACAGGTGTGCCATCAGCACTGTATCCATATGGCTATCGTGCATCCCCAGCAGAGAAGGGGTCCTATGAATGAATGAATGATGAACAATAGGAGGGCAGGACTGAGACCAGAGACAGGCCCCAGCCAGCATCTCTAAGATGGCCCTCCTGCTCTTTCCCCCTCACCCTGTCCAGATGGTGATCCCAGGAGACCCTGAGGAGATGAGGGCGTTCCAGAGCCGGACCCTGGCACTGTCTCGCTGCAGCCTGGAAGTGATCCTGCCCAGTGTCCACATCTTTCTGCCCAGCAAGGAGGTCTACGAGAGCATCTACAACAGGTGGAGACGCGGGGCCAGCGGGGCGGGACAGGACACGGGTGGGCCTGGCCTCCCTTACCTGCCGTCCATCCGTCCATGTCAGGATCAACAACGACCTGCTCATGTGGGAGCCCGCAGACCTGCTTCCCACCTCCGACCCCGCCGCCCAGCCCTCTGGCCTCCCCGGCCCCTCAGGCTTCTGGCATGACAGCTTTAAGATGTGCAAGTCAGCCTTCAAGTTGGGTATGAGAGGTGCTTGTGCTGGGCTAGAGGGAGGACCCCCAGGTCTGGGATGGGCCAGGCTAGCCCTCCCCGGTCTCCTTCCCAGCCAACTGCTTTGATCTCACCCCAGACTCAGACTCGGATGATGAGGATGCCCACTTCTTCTCAGTGGGGGCATCAGGCGGCCCACAGCCCCCTGCCCCTGAGGCCCCAAGTCTTCACTTGCAGAGCACCTTCTCTACACTGGTGACAGTGCTGAAGGGGCGGATCACAGCCCTCTGTGAGACCAAGGTGAGTGCAACCCGGGCAGGTGGGTCCCAAACTTCAGAGCTCCCGTTGGTGGCAGAACAAGACCAGCACGAGCAGCTCCAGGTCAGGAATGTGGAGAGCAGGAGGCCTAAGTGGTTAGTGCCAGCCCACCCATGCCAGCCTGCCCATCCTATCACAGCCCATCAGCTCCTTCTGACCCCCTGCTGTATGTAAAGCACCATGCTAGGAGTCGGGATGGGCATGGCGCACCCACCATTCCCACTCCAAGGAGGCAGAGTGGGCAGACCCGGCAGAGATGATTTTTCTCCTGGCAGAAGAGGCAAGTGCCATCCAGGGCCTCCAGCAGCGTCCATGGTGGAAACTGGAGCTGACCCCCTTAGGCCAGGGCTCCAGGAGCCGCCAACCCCCTGAGGGTTTGAGAGATGCTGAGTGCAGCTGGGGAAGCCACGCTGTGTGCTCCTTCTGCAGGACGAGGGTGGCAAGCGGCTGGAGGCTGTGCACGGGGAGCTGGTGCTGGACATGGAGCATGGCACCCTCTTCAGCGTCTCCCAGTACTGTGGCCAGCCAGGACTCGGCTACTTCTGCCTGGAAGCTGAAAAGGCAACGCTCTACCACCGAGGTGTGAGGCCTGGGGCGGGTCACCGCTGGGGGCCAGGCTTGGGGGTGGGGGCGGGTCACCGCTGGGGGCCAGGCTTGCTCTGTGGACGCTTTCAGGATGGAGGTGGGCCCTGGGTGGAGTGGGTAGCCAGTCGGCTTGTCAGGGGGCTCATGAGACCCTTCCCCAGCGGCCGTGGATGACTACCCGCTGCCCAGTCACCTGGACCTGCCCAGTTTCGCTCCCCCGGCTCAGCTGGCCCCGACCATCTACCCATCGGAGGAAGGGGTGACTGAGCGGGGAGCCTCGGGCCGCAAGGGCCAGGGCCGGGGCCCCCACATGTTGTCCACTGCTGTGCGCATCCACCTGGACCCCCACAAGAATGTGAAGGTACGGGCTTGCCTGCCAGCCACCCCTCCTGCTAGCCTGGGCTGCAGCCCCGGTGCGTGGTGGGACCCCAGTGCGCGGTGCGGCCCCAGTGCGCGGTGGGGCTGGCCTCCGCACTGCCCTGACTGCACCTCCACCCTCAGGAGTTCCTGGTGACACTGCGGTTGCACAAAGCCACCCTGCGCCACTACATGGCCCTGCCCGAGCAGAGCTGGCATTCCCAGGTGAGCATGGGTAGCCTGGGAAGTCACATGGCCCAATGACTCTGGACTTCTGTTTTGGGCAAGTAGGTCTCTAGGTGGGAGGAGGCCGGTGGGAGGAACATGGACTGGGCCACAGCTGACCTTGGCCGGAGCTCCCTGGGCAAGGGGTTTGGGAGACAGCTAGTGGGCAGAAAGTGAGGTACCAGGCAGGGGCCAGGACAGGGAGGGGTTAGAGGAGGGAAGAGGCCACCTGATCCTCACCGCCTCCTCCTGCCCTGGCCTCTGAAGCTGTTGGAGTTCCTAGACGTGCTGGATGACCCTGTGCTGGGCTACCTGCCCCCGACGGTCATCACCATCCTGCACACACACCTGTTCTCCTGCGCCGTGGACTATAGGTACTGGGCTGGGAGGGCCCGGGGCTGGGGACAGGGATGGACTCTCAGGTATAAGGAGCCGTTCCCAGCCCGAATGTCACCCCCAGGCCACTCTACCTCCCTGTGCGTGTCCTCATCACCGCGGAGACCTTCACTCTGTCCAGCAACATCATCGTGGACACCTCCACCTTCCTGCTCAGGTATGTAGGCCGCCCCACACCGGGCCGCCCCACCCTCGCCAGGCCGAAGCTGGCTGCCAGCTGTGTGTCCTCTGGCACTCTCGGTTTTAATGTGCACTCGGGTGATGATCCCATTCTCAGGAATGTGGATTGTTTCCGCCTTCCTGGAGGGCAGTTGGACCCTCCTGATCAGAGCCTTATAAGCTTTTGTGCTCTCTGACCTGGTAATCTCACGTCTGGGGGCTGTCCTGGGATATGAGAATAAGAGAGGTGGAATTTAATGCTTACATAGTATAAGTTAAAACAGTCAAAACATATCAGTTTTAGATACGTTTAGATACACAACCCGAGCAAATAAGCATGGCCCACCTAGTAGGTGGAAAACCATGCAAGAATTAAGGTGAAGCTGAAGAATCACTTGAAAATATAACAAGATGGAGGGCGCGGTGGCTCACGCCTGTAATCCCAGCACTTTGGGAGGCCGAGGCAGGCGGATCACAAGGTCAGGAGTTCGAGACCAGCCTGGCCAATATGGTGAAACCTCGTCTCTACTAAAAATACAAAAATGAGCCGGGGGTGGTGGCAGGCACCTGTAGTCCGAGCTACTTGGGAGGCTGAGGCAGGAGAATCACTTGAACTCAGGAGGCGGAGGTTACAGTGAGCCGAGATTGCGCCACTGTACTCCAGCCTGGGTGACAGAGCGAGACTCCGTCTCTAAATAAAATATAAGAAGATGCCACAGTATAGTGTTTACTCAAATAACATGGGATACAGGACTACGTACGTTTTAAAATCAGCTCATGAAGGCATGTTTATATATGTCTCTGCGTGCAGCTGTAGAAAGTTTGGAAGGTGATGTGTGTGGTGGTTTTCTCGGAATTAGGGATTAGGAATGATGAATGATTTTTTTATTTTCTTTATTCTAAAATATCTTGAAGGAGTTTTCATTATGTTACCCTTAAAATAAGGACTTTTTTTTTTTTTGAGACAGAGTCTCGCTCTGTCAGCAAGCTGGAGTGCAGTGGCATGATCTCGGCTCAATGCAACCTCTGGCTCCTGGGTTCAAGCAATTCTCCTGCCTTAGCCTCCCGAGTAGCTAGGACTACAGGCACCCACCACCACACCCAGCTAATTTTTGTATTTTTAGTAGAGACAGGGTTTCACCTTGTTGGTCTGGCTGGTCTCGAACTCCTGACCTTGTGATCCGCCTGCCTTGGCCTCCAAAGGTGCTGGGATTATAGGCTTGAGCCACCATGCCCGGCCCTTGTTATTATTATTTCTTTTTGAGATGGAGTCTCACTTTGTCACCCAGGCTGGAGAGCAGTAGTGTGATCTAGGCTCACTGCAACCTCTGCCTCCCTAGTTGAAGCGATTCTCCTGCATCAGTCTCCAAAGTAGCTGGGATTACAGGCACCCGCCACCATGCCCGGCTAATTTTTGTATTTTTAGTAGATACAGGGTTTCACCATGTTGGCCAGGCTGGTCTCGAACTCCTGACATCAGGTGATCCGCCTGCCTCAGCCTCTCCAAGTGCTAGTATTACAGGTGTGAGCCACTGCGCCCAGCCAAAAATGAGAACTTATTTTAAAAGAACCACAAATGCAGTAGGGGGAAAAATGGACACCCCTTTCCAGGACTGTCATGAGGCCCTATCGAGGTGTCGGAACTGCAGGCACTTTGAGAGCTGCAAGTGCTGCCTGCCTCCCACTGCCTGCTGTCTGGGCCTTCTCCCCGTTGTGCAGGCAGGAACGCTGAGGCTGGAGGGGCCTGTCCATACCACTTCCTGTGGGCTTGGGACCCCTCTGCTCAGCTCCCGTGGAGCTGCCACCTGCAGTGGTGCCCGGGCCCTTCTCAGCCCTGTTCCCCCCCAGGTTCATCCTCGATGACTCCGCCTTGTACCTGTCCGACAAGTGTGAGGTGGAGACCCTGGACCTGCGGCGAGGTGGGCAGGGCCGGGACTGGGCTCCCTCCCCTCTGAGGGACCACCGCCCCGGCCACACCCAGAGCAGCCAGGTGTCTCCCCGCAGCTGCTGGCCGGGTCCTTAGCTCCCACGCATAGCCCGCACAGCAGGGGCTACACCCGGATCAGCCGGATCCTTCCCCCAGGTGCTGGGGCCGGGGCCGGGTGGAAGGGGGCCACAGGACCTTTCTCTCGCCTCTGCTGCAGATTATGTCTGTGTCTTGGATGTTGACCTCTTGGAACTTGTGATTAAAACCTGGAAAGGGAGCACTGAGGGCAAACTGGTAAGTGAGGCTGTCATGGAGCCAGAGCAGGTGCAGGGGCCAAGGGATTCTTTAGGGGCCACTGCTCCCTCATGTGCCCGGGCTCCAGACACAGTTCACACCTGCCCTTCCTGGGCTGCAGTTAGCACCCCTCCTGCAAAGGGCCACAGTACAGCCCTAGGGGTCCCTTGATGCTGGCTGAATGAATGAATGGGTTTCAGTCCTGCCACCAGAGGACGCTGCAGCCAGGGTATCAGCAAGGCCTTGGGAGTCAGCCGCCTTCGTAGGTCCCCGGGTTCATCTGTGAGATGGAGGGCATGCAGAGCCCTTCACGGGGAGTGGGGTAGGGTGGGTGGACACCCTCCTGCTTCCTTGGATGGCCCTGGGCCAAGCCCCTTTCACCCTCTGGGCTCAGTTTGCTCACCTCTTCATTGGAGTTACTGGGCAGGACATCCACTCCAGGAGAGACCATCCTTGTTCTGCCTGTGGCGGGGTCAGAACTGCGGTGCCCTCCCAGCGAGCAGGTGGGGCCAGCAGGCAGCGGCCCCTGTGCTCACATAGCTGCTCGCCCCGCCCCGCCCACAGAGCCAACCGCTATTCGAGCTGCGCTGCTCCAACAACGTGGTACACGTGCACAGCTGTGCCGACTCCTGTGCCCTGCTGGTCAACCTGCTCCAGTACGTAATGAGCACGGGTGACCTGCATCCCCCACCCCGGCCCCCCAGCCCCACGGAGATCGCCGGCCAGAAGGTACAGGTGAGGCCTGGCCACACAGGCTACCAGAGTCTCGGGCCTGGGGTTGGGGGAGCCCTGGGGGCCGCTCTCGTCCTGTCTCACTCATTGCTCCTCCCCTGCCTGGCCCAGCTCTCGGAGAGTCCTGCCTCTCTGCCCTCGTGCCCGCCAGTGGAGACGGCCCTCATCAACCAGCGCGACCTGACCGACGCCCTCCTGGACACCGAGCGCAGCCTGCGGGAGCTGGCCCAGCCTTCAGGTGGAGTGGGGGTGCTGTGGGGACAGCAGACACAGTCAGGCACCCACTGTGGGCGCCTCTCCAAACTGGCCTCTCTCCTATAGGTGGCCACCTCCCTCAGGCGTCGCCCATCTCGGTCTACCTATTCCCAGGTGAACGGAGTGGGGCCCCGCCCCCTTCACCACCTGTCAGGGGCCCTGCTGGCAGCTTAGGGTCATGCTCGGAGGAGAAGGAAGATGAAAGGGAAGAGGAGGGCGATGGAGACACCCTGGATAGTGATGAGTTCTGCATCCTTGACGCTCCTGGCCTGGGCATCCCGGTGCGTGGTGGGATGGGTGGACTGGTTTGCTGTCCAGGCAGGTGTGCTTGGGGTGGGGATGGGACACTCAGGGGTGGTTGCCTGGCCATCTGGAGCTCCTGTGGTGAGAGAAGCAGGCAGGAGGTAGTCGCCGTCACCTGGGGACACGGTGCTAGGTCTGTGCTGCCCTAGGGAGGCAGCCCTGATGCTGGGCTTTGATGGAGTGGGTAGATTTCCAGAGGAAGAGGAAGCCTGGTGTTCTAGGCAGAGGGACTGGGACATTCAAGGAATGGAGGAAGAGGAGAGGGGAGTTAGCGAGAGGGGTGGAGAATGTGGCTGCAAGGGCCGGTGGGAGTATCTGAACTCACTGAGGTCTTAGGAGGCAGGGCTGGCAGGAGCCTGGGACTCTCAGGCTCTTCGTGAACAGACCACTCAGGCATAGGCTTGGGGATAGCAACCCAGGAGTGTCATCTTTCATCAAAAATGGGGAGGAGGCCAGGCATGGTGGGTCACGCCTGTAATCCCAGCAGTTTGGGAGGTCAAGGTGGGACAATTGCTTGAGTCCAGGAATGAGAGATTAGCCTGGGCACCATAGTGAGACCCCTCTCTACAAACCAAAATAAAATTAGCCAGCTGTGGTGGCACATGTCTGCAGTCCCAGCTACTCAGGAGGCTGAGATGGGAGGATCGCTTGAGCCTGGGAGGCAGAGGTTGCAGTGAACTGTGATTGTGCCACTGCACTCCAGCCTGGGTGACCAATCATTACCCGACCCTGTCTTTTTTAAAAAAAAAAAAAAAGAAAAAAGAAGTGAGACCAGGGGAGAAACAGGAGCTGGAGCTGGGGTAGCTGGGCTGGATCGAACATCTGTGTCACACGTCTCCACCTGGCCTCCCTGCAGCCACGAGACGGGGAGCCTGTGGTGACACAGCTGCATCCCGGCCCCATCGTTGTGCGGGATGGTTACTTCTCACGGCCGATTGGCAGCTCGGACTTGCTGCGGGCACCTGCCCATTTCCCCGTGCCCAGCACTCGGGTGGTGCTACGTGAGGTCTCCCTCGTCTGGCACCTATATGGGGGCCGAGACTTTGGCCCCCACCCCGGCCACAGGTGAGGAGGAGCGGGTGCAGGTGGCAGCTAGTGAAGGTTGGGGCTCAGGCTGGTCCAGCTCTGACTTTCAGCAGCTGGAGACCTTGAGCCCCATCCACCCCAGGTGGGCCTCAGTTTCCTCGTCCTTCTTATCCCACCTGCCTGCCAGGACTGGGGCTAGCGGGGGTCTCTTGTCCCAGGCTAAAAAGCCTGCTGAGGACAGGGAGGGAATCGGGTTCCTCTGAGTCAGCTTGGCCCCTGTCCCTCTTCCCAGGGCAAGAGCTGGCCTCTCGGGCCCCAGGGGCTCCCCTTCCCGCTGCTCTGGCCCCAACCGGCCCCAGAACTCATGGCGCACTCAGGGGGGCAGCGGGCGGCAGCACCATGTCCTCATGGAGATCCAGCTCAGCAAGGTGAGTGGGGTGGCGAGTGCCCACTGCACGTGTGTGTCATGGAACCACGGGCCTTGTTCTCGATGTCACGTGTAGCAATGACTAACGCAGAGGAAAACCCCTGCCTTTGTAGTGGAGGAAGCCAGGCAGGGACCAAGCTGTATCGAGTGTGTCCGATGGTGAAGAGCGCTCAGGGGAGTCTGCAGGGGTGGAGGAGACAGGTGTGCTGGGGAGGGTCTGGAAGGTCCCTTCCGGAGGCACCATTTGAACACAGACCTGAACAAGTGGGGATGTGAGCCAGGAAGAGTTTCAGGCAGAGAGGACAGCGTGAAAGCCGCAAACTGGGGCCGGGCATGGTGGCTTATGCCTGTAATCCCAGCACTTTGGAAGGCCGAAGCGGGCAGATCACCTGAGCTCAGGAGTTTGAGACCAGCCTGTCCAGGCAGGTGTGTTTGGGGTGGGGATGGGACACTCAGGGTGGTTGCCTGGCCATCTGGAGCTCCTGTGGTGAGAGAAGCAGGCAGGAGGTGGTCGCCTGGCAACATGGCAAAACCCCATTTCTAAAAAATAAAATAACCAGTTGCAGTAGTGTGCACCTATAGTCCCAGCTACTCGGGAGGCTGAGGCAGGAGAGTGGTTTGAGCCCAAGAGGCAGAGATTGCAGTGAGCTGAGATCGCCCTACTGCATTCCAGCCTGGGCAACAGAGTAAGACTCTGTTTTAAAAAAAAAAAAAAAAAGCTGCAAGCTGGAAGCATCCTGGCCTTTCCAGGAGCAGCAGAGCCTGTGCATAACCAGCGACCCAGAATATTTCTTTTGGGTCTTACAAGAGACGAACCCCCTCAGGGCTTTTGAGGAGAGGCCTCTGTGGGACGGGGCTCTGCAGCACTCAGGGAGGGCTGTTGAGCGTGGGCAGGTTCAGGAGAGCCTAGATGGGGGCTGGCCACAGGTTTGGCTGCAGATCGGGTGTGGGAGATGAGTGTCAGAGCAGGGGACCAGGGGCCTCTGAGACCTGATGGCGAGCCGGCAGGTGTGCAGGAAGAGGGGGAAGGAAGGCTCTCCATGGAGAGGGGCCACGAGAACAAAGTCCTGAAGGCAAAACAGGCCTGGACTCCTTGAGTGGCAGAGACCAGTGCAGCTGGCATGGGAAGCAAGGGCAGGGGCAGGTCTGGAGGGAGAGGCAAGTCTCTGCTGGGCATAGAATAGAGAAGGGGTTGGGGCTGGGCGTGGTGGCTCATGCCTATAGTCCCAGCACTTTGAGAGGACGAGGCAGACAGATCACCACAGGTCAGGAGTTCGAGACCAACCTGGCCAACATTATGAAACCCTGTCTCTACTAAAAATACAAAAATTAGCTGGATGTGGTGGCACATGCCTATAATCCCAGCTACTGGGGAAGCTGAGGCAGGAGAATCGCTTGAACCCGGGAGGCAGAGGTTGCAATGAGCCGAAATTGTGCCACTGCACTCCAGCCTGGGTGACAGACTGTCTCAAAAAAAAAAAAGAAAAAAGAATAGAGAAGGGGTCTGGACCAGCCCTTCCCTCCCTCTTGGGGCCCTGTTCACCTGGCCAGGCCTCTGTCCACCCCACAGGTAAGCTTCCAGCACGAGGTGTACCCAGCGGAGCCAGTCACAGGCCCTGCAGCCCCTGGCCAGGAGCTGGAGGAGCGGCCGCTGTCCCGTCAGGTGTTCATCGTGCAGGAGCTGGAGGTCCGAGACCGGCTTGCCTCCTCCCAGATCAACAAGTTCCTGTACCTACACACGAGTGAGCGGATGCCACGACGTGCCCACTCTAACATGGTACGAGCGGCCTGCACCGTCCGCCCTGGGGCAGGGCATGGGACCGTCAGGGACACATCTTCACACGTGCACAGATTCACACACATACACGCATTCCCACACGAACACCCAGGTTGTTTATAAGCCTGGGAGGAGGGCAGAGCTAGGGCCTGTGTTAGCGAAGGGAACAGTGTGTTCAGAGGCCGGGTGACTGGGTGAGCTCCAGCCCCAGAGGCCCAGCAGGCATCCGGAACTCACCCTCTGCTCCCAGCTCACCATCAAAGCGCTGCATGTGGCCCCCACCACCAACCTGGGTGGGCCTGAGTGCTGTCTCCGCGTCTCGCTGATGCCCCTGCGGCTCAATGTGGACCAGGTGAGTGGTCCAAGTGAGGGCAGAGTCCAGGGTGACCCCACTGTGTCCAGGCGTCTGAGTCTGATCCGCGCCCGGACCTTTCCCCTGCAGGATGCCCTCTTCTTCCTCAAGGACTTCTTCACTAGCCTGGTGGCCGGCGTCAACCCTGTGGTCCCAGGGGAGACCTCCGCTGAGGGTGAGAGGCTGGGCCGGGGAGGGGAGCATCTGGGCCTTCTGCCTTCCAGGACAGCCCAGGTTCCCAGTCTGTGACCTCCCTTCCCCTAGCTCGCCCCGAGACTCGAGCCCAGTCCAGCAGTCCCCTGGAAGGGCAGGCCGAGGGCGTAGAGACAACTGGCTCACAGGAAGCCCCAGGCGGTAGACACAGCCCCTCCCCTGCTGACCAGCAGCCCATCTACTTCAGGTAGGCTGCTGGACTGTGGGTGGGGGCTCCTGGGCCAGATTGCTGGGAACCAGGCCAGTGAGCAAAGAACCCCCTCTTCCTGCTCCCCTGCCCAGAGAGTTCCGCTTCACGTCCGAGGTCCCCATCTGGCTGGATTACCATGGCAAGCACGTCACGATGGACCAGGTGGTAAGTGAGGCGGTCAGATGGGGTGGCCATGTGGGGTCAGCTGTGGCTGAGTCCCTCTGGGGGCCAGGTCTTGCATCCAGACACCGTCAGGGCCAGGGTGCTCTCCAGTGGCTCCCATGGGCTGGCTGGCTCCCTGAGTCCCATCGGGTAAACCTGGATCCCCTCCCTCTCCCAGGGCACTTTCGCTGGCCTCCTCATTGGCCTGGCCCAACTCAACTGCTCCGAGCTGAAGCTAAAGCGGCTCTGTTGCAGGCACGGGTGAGTCCCCAGCACCCTAGCCTCTCTCCAGGGTCCCTGATCTTCCCTCTGTTCTGGTCCTGAATGATTGTGTGGCCTTGACCAAGTCATCACCCTTCTCAGGGCCTCAGTTTCTCCTCTGTAAAAAGGATGCAGTTGGCTGGGTATGGTGGCTCATGCATTCAGGCATTTGAGACCAGCCTGACCAACATGGTGAAACCCCGTCTCTACTAAAAATATAAAAATTAGCCAGGCGTGGTGGCGGGCACTTGTAATCCCAGCTACTCAGGAGGCTGAGGCAGGAGAATTGCTTGAACCCAGGAGGCAGAGCTTGCAGTGAGCCAAGATCGCACCACTGCACTCCAGCCTGGGCAACATCCCTCTGCACGTGACTGGGTGGGACCACAGGGAGGGTAGGAGTGCCCACAGGACTTGCCACAGGGGTACTGAGTCCTCCTGGCCCCACAATCCCTCCATGTGTGGCTCTGCCTCACCTTCTGCCTCCTCACCTCCCTGCCCTGCCAGGCTCCTGGGTGTGGACAAGGTGCTGGGCTATGCCCTCAACGAGTGGCTGCAGGACATCCGCAAGAACCAGCTGCCCGGCCTGCTGGGAGGCGTGGGCCCCATGCATTCGGTTGTCCAGCTCTGTGAGTGCCTGGGTTTGGAAGCCCTTGGAACTGCTTTTACCCTTGGGCAACCTAGAAGCTGCCACTGGGAATAAGAGGAGGAGGTGGGGGCAGGGCAGCCTCGGGTGTCTCTGAGCGCTCCTTCCCCCTAGTCCAAGGGTTCCGGGACCTGCTGTGGCTGCCCATTGAGCAGTACAGGAAGGATGGCCGCCTCATGCGGGGGCTACAGCGAGGGGCTGCCTCCTTCGGCTCGTCCACGGCCTCTGCGGCCCTGGAACTCAGCAACCGGTTGGTACAGGCTATCCAGGTGAGTGGGTGCCCTGCATCTGGGCTGTGCAGGACAGAGCAGCTGGAGCCCTCTGCACCACAGCTCCCAGGTTCTGTCCTCAAAGGTCTTCTGAGAGTGGGCAGTCTGGGTATGACAGCCCTACTTTATAGAGAAACAACTATGGAGATGCTAAGTGACTTGCCTGGGGCCTCCAAGGCAGGTCTCCCGAGGCCCACAGGGGTTCCTGTGCAAGAGTGGGAGTGCCCCCCAGGCCTTCAGAACCCACCGTGTCTCCTGCTCATGGCATGTCTTGTAAAGGGGGGTGGAGGACGGCTGTGTTTGCAGACTAAGAATCTGAGGCCCAAGGGCTGCCCTGGTTCCTTCAGGCCATGCACTTCGCTAGGCCAGAGGGACCCCAGGGAAGCCCCGGAGCCAGTCTCGTGGGCAGTTGTCAGATGAATTCTGTAGGGGACTGATGGTCCTAGTGGGCTAAGGGGTGAGTGCAGGTGCATGGTACGTTCTGGAATCTGCAAGCTCAGACCCCAGCAGGACACAGGGCAGGGCTCCAGGAGAGGCGGGAGGTATGCGTGGCCACCAGGGAGCCCCCGGGAGTGTTCAGTCAGGTGGGAAAGAGTGATGCCAGGTGAGGTGCTGGGCAGAGGATCTGGCGGACAGAAGGAAGGATGGGCTCCCTGACCATCTTGCAGGGGCATCTGGGGGGCGAGACAAGGAGCAGTCAGTCTTAGGTGTGCAGCTGTGGCAGCCGTGCAGAACCTACTGAATGTGGCAGTCAGCAGGAAGAGAGGTTTGGGTTAAGAAGATTTTAGGAAAGAACCCTGAGGAGTCCCATGTTCCTAGATTCCCTGAGCGGAGTGGCGGATGCCTGGGAAGGGGAGGAGGAGTGGGAGGAAGTGGGAAGTAAGGCTGAGCAGGACTCCCTGGGCCAGCACAGTGACAGGCGGGGAGGCTGAGGGCTGGCGGGGTCTCAGACTGTCCTGGGGGCCTGGGGCCGACATGTGTGCCCCAGCCAACTGTCCTCATCCAGTGCTCCCATGTCCCCCAGGCCACAGCCGAGACCGTGTATGACATCCTGTCCCCGGCAGCCCCTGTCTCCCGCTCCCTGCAGGACAAGCGCTCTGCGCGGAGGCTGCGCAGGGGCCAGCAGCCTGCCGACCTGCGGGAGGGTGTGGCCAAGGCCTACGACACAGTGCGAGAGGTGACCAGGCCCCCACCCTGCCCCAGTCCCCCATGCCCGTCTCCTCATGCAGACCCCACCCTGACCTCTGTCCTCCACAGGGCATCTTGGACACAGCTCAGACCATCTGTGACGTGGCATCGCGGGGCCATGAGCAAAAGGGGCTGACGGGCGCCGTGGGCGGCGTGATCCGCCAGCTGCCCCCGACCGTGGTGAAGCCGCTCATCCTGGCCACAGAGGCCACGTCCAGCCTGCTTGGGGGCATGCGTAACCAGATCGTCCCCGACGCCCACAAGGACCACGCCCTCAAGTGGCGCTCGGACAGTGCCCAAGACTGAGCTTGGGGCGCCCGGCACCCAGAAGGTGCTGCCCACCGTGCTCCTGAGCCTCCCAAGAGCTGCAGCACACGGGTCCGGCCCGGCCCGGCCCCTCAGGGGATGGCCACTGTGAAGGACGCCTTCCCGGCCTGCCCGTTGCCAATCTGCTGTGAGATGGGGGCCTCCCTGCCTTGGGGCCTTAGCCCTGGCTCTGCACTTTTCCTCCGGGGAGAAAGGACACTGCCCCTCCCCCGACCTGGGCCCACACCGCTGCCTTCTCCCAGGACGGAGGCTTTTGTACCCTCGGACCCCATCCCACTCAGCCAAGTGTCTTTCTGTGTCTGGGGGGAGGAGGGGATGACATCCGTGTGGTTCGATGTATCATTTTTAAGCTCCGTGAGCGCGTGGGTCAGTGTCTGCATGAAGTGGAATAAACTGCCCACCGCCAGCCCCCCTCTTAGATCCTCTGTCCCTGCGAACCCTGGCCTCAGCCTTGACCTTGGCTCCGCCCCAGATCCCACCTCTGCACTCAGCACCTCCCATGTCACCACCAGGGGTCGCCACGCCTCCCGGCCTTGCCCAGCAGGTCAGGGCACAGGGGGGACCCAGAAGCACCCAGCCCTGCACCCCTTCCGCTGACTCTGAGCTCTGCCTTGCCCTTCCCAGGGGGCTGCCACCCCAGCCCCACTCCTGATATGGCAGGAGCTACGTGGGGCTGCCAGGGAGGGAGGGATGGTCTTTGGAGCCTGCCTGCCCAGACCACATTGGTTGTGTCCCTGCAAGACCCCAGAGTCCAGCCTGACCCCAGGGCCCCTGGCTGTGGGGACGCCAGGCAGGCTCAAGCCCTGACTATGGGACCTGAGGCGACACCCTGGGTCCCTGAGCCTCAGTCCTTCCTGGTGTTCCCTGCCCAGCTGACCCTGCCTGGTTGTCACTTGAGGCCACTCAGGGAAGGCTGAGCCTGAGGCGTTCTAGAGGTTGCTCTCACCATTCCTAGTGGGGGATTTAGGGGTGGCTCAGGCCTCTGGACCCTTGGCTTCCACTCCGCTCTGGGGTCGGAGCTCCAGCACTGCAATCAGAATCCCAGCCCTCGCTGCACAAAGCTTTACATGGGACCAGGGAGCGCCCGTTGCCCCCCACACATCTTGTTTCTTGTGAGCACAATGGGAGCACTGTGCTCCTCCCTGCCCTGCTTCCCAGTGGCACTGCACAAAGGTGGGCGGGTCCATGGGGAAACTGAGGCTCGGGCTGGGAATAGGGGCCCTCACTTTGCCAGGTTCCGCAGGCCTCTGGGGTTAGCGAAGGTCCCCCAGCCCCACTCTGTGGCCCCTCCTGAGTGGGGGAGATCTGGGCACTGGGAACAGAGCAGAAGCTTTATCCCAAGGGAGCCTCGGGTCCTGGCTGCCCACGGACACCTGGGGCTGGTAAGAGATCAGGAGGGCGAGGCCCTGGAGGAGACAGGGCTGTGGATGACTGGGTGCTGATGCCACCCGGAGAGGCAGATGGGGCCCAGCCTGATGCTTCCTGGACCCGCCCCACCCTGCCCGGGCACAGTCCAGGGCTTCCTGCCCTTCGAACCGCACTTGTGATCAGTATTGACGGTGGTGGGATAATCATTAACCACCACCAGGGGCTGGGTCAACGGCTCAAAAGGCCCTGGGCCCAGGGCGTCCCCACTTCCTCCTTGTGCCCCGAGGGCCAGCCCGGCACCCAGGTAAGAGGCTTCCTGAGTGGTAGGACCCCTGCCACACTCCCTGTCCTAGGAGGCTCCTGAGCCCAGGCACCTCTCTGAAGGGTGGCCAATCCTGAGGAAGAAAGGGACCTGGACAGCCATGGGGTGGCCGGCACAACTTCCTCTCTGGGCCTTGGTTTCCACTGTGGGATGAGGGGGCCTTAGCATCAGCGCTCAGAGCTGTGGAGCCAGGCTTCCTGATCGGGCGCTGCCACTGCCAGGCCAGGGCACTTGGACACCACACTGCAGGAGGCTGGTCTCACCCAGGCCTCTGTGGGAAGGGCCGCCAGGCTGAGTGGAGGGCCAGCCACCAACTACAGTGTCCTCCTTCGCAGGCCTGTCCCCCCAGGCAGCAGGATTCCAGCCCAGGGATCCCCCATCCCACCCTGACTGCATCCCGAGAGGGAGGACGCCACTTCGGGAAGGCTGTTGGGGCAGCACAGGCCCTGGGGCCCTGCTCTGTGACCTTGGGCGGCCCCCCTCTGTCTCTCTAGGCCTGTATCCACCACTGGCAAAGGGGGCAGGGCCCAAGTCTACTCTAAAAGCTCCCCTTTCTCTCCAGAAGCTTTGGAGTCTCCCAAAATGCCTGCTGGGTCTCTGCAGGACTGGCACCTGTCACCAGAACCTGTCTGGGAGGGATGAGAACACGCTTTGCAAGAGGAAGCTCTGCCTCCCAGAGCCCTGGGCTCACTCAGGGACCCCGGCCAGCAGCTGCTTCCTCTCCCCACAGCGGAGAGAGACCCAAGGGTCCCAGGGCGGATGCTTCCCACCAGTCCAGGCCAGCGTGCAGGGTGGCCTCCTAAGTCCTGATTGACATATGGACAATGGTTCAGAGAGGTTATGCTACTTGCTCAAGGTCACCCAGCTCCCAGGTCCCTGCTGTCTTCCAGGCCACTGAGGTCCTAAGCGTCCCTCCAGGCAGGCCACTGCTCAAGCCTGTTCCTCACGTTCTGTGGCAGGTTTGTGTATCTAAATCTTTTCCAGTTCCCTGTCGTCCCCCTTCCTTCACCTCATCATCCACTGTCCCTGTTTGTTTTCTCTGTTCCTTTCCAGTTCTCTACCTGCTCCTCTTATTTTTATTTGAGACAGGGTCTTTCTTTGTCACTGAGGCTGGAGTGCAGTGGCACAATCACAGCTCACTGGAGCCTTGACCTCCCAGGCTCAAGTGATCCCCCGGCCTCAGCCCCTTGAGTAGTTGGGACCACAGGCATGCATCACCACACTGGGCTAATTTTTTATTTTTTGTAGGGATGGGGTCTCACTGTGTTGCCCAGGCTGGTCTTGCACTCCTGGGCTCAAGAGATCCTCCCATCTTGGTCTCCCAAAGTGCTGGGATTCCAGGTGTGCACCGCCATCTGCAGCCTTACTCTTCTCTTCCTCTCTCAGCCCCTCTGCCTCACTATCCCTCTTTCTGTGTCCCCCACTACAGCCCCCCACACTTCTTCTCAGTCTCATCTTCAGCTTCCCATACGGGGCCATCCTCATGAAATCGGGCACTGGGAGGTTCCTGGGGATTGACAAGTGCCAGCTGTCCCTTGCGGTCCCTCTGCCCCATGGCTGCAGCAGGGAGGGTGGGCAAAGGGCAGAGGCGACAGTGGCCAGACCTGAAACTGAGACCCAGCTCTGGTTGGGAAAGAAACAAGGAAACAAAATAACTTGGGGACAGAGGGCGTGGGGTCATCAGAGCGGGCAAAGGCTGCCCAGGAGTTGTAAATCAGAGCCGCTCCCGGCTTTATGAGGCCGATTTGGGGTTGAGCCTGGACTTCGCCCAGGAAGGAGTGCTGGCAGCACACGGGGCGCCAGGTGTGGGCCCCGGATGATAAGAAGCCTCGGTGAAAAGACCATGGACCTGGGGCCACGAAGACTGGGGCGCCCAGGTGAGCGGGCGTGGGACACTCTCCAGAGCCCTGCCCAAGGTGGATGCCAGGCAGGGCCCCGGCCTCCAATTGGCTCCCGCCCCCTGTAACAGCAACTCCATGTGGAAGTGTCCACTGATTCCAGTGGGGCTGCTGTTATCTGGGGCGAGGGCCGGTACCCACGAAGAAGGAGAGGCAGGTGCTGCCCAGCAGACCAGCCAGGACTACCGTGGCGACGCTCCCAGGCCAGATGATGGCGGGTGGTGGAGGGCTATCGGTGGGCTGCTGAGACCGAGTGCACAGGGCTCTGACCTATGAATTGACAGCCAGTGCTCTCGTCTCCCCTCTGGCTGCCAATTCCATAGGTCACAGGTATGTTCGCCTCAATGCCAGCCACCAGGACCTGCAGGGGTAGGGGCGGGCCGGGGGTGTCCAGCAGTCTGCGGAGACCCTGCGACCCCAGTACAGCACTCATGGTCCCACCTCCCTCCGTCTCATTCCCCGAGATGAGCCTGAACAGCTTCAGTCCCACCCCTGCCCTGCCTGCCCTGCGGCACCTCCATGCTTTGCCCATGCGATTCCCTTGGGCTGCAACACTCTTCCTAGGTTATTTGCCAGGCTCACTAACCCTTTCAAGCTCCATCCAAGCATTTGCTGCCTCCAGAAGGCCTTCTTGAAGCTTCTAAGTCCCCACCTGGGCACCCCACGCTGTGCTGCCCCAGAGCACTGCCGTCTCAGAGCCCTGGCGCTGGTTTCTGTTTGTGTCTCACTCCTCTCCCCATCTGTGAGCTCAGTTCCCAGCCCAGGTGCGTGCTCAGTGTTTGCTGAACCGATCCTGAGCCTTTGTCTTGCGCCCTGAGGAAGCACCCACCGACATGCAATGTGGCCAAGGGGGGCTGAGTGCTCTGGGCCCAGTGTTTGTGCTGGAGCCCCCCACCCAGGACAGGGGCCCTGAGTCAGCCTCCGCATCTGCTTCCTGCTCTCCCCTCCTTTGCCAGTCTCATCTCCCTGGAGCACAGCCCTGTGGTTGGTGGAGCAGCTTCTCCAGTCCCTGGGA